CAGCCCAGTAAGTATGCTCCTTCTTCTGGAGATAGTACACATAGAGAGAGACAAAAAAAAAAAAAAAAAAAAAAAAAAAGGGTAGCAGATGTTAACACCTGGTGAATCTAGATGAAGAATATTTGGGTATTGATTTTATTAACACTGCAATTTTTCTGAAGATTTTATTCACTGTACTATGCTTGCAACTTTTCTCTAGGTTTGAAGTTTTTCCAAATAAAAACAGTTGGGGGCAAAGAGAAATAGTGACAAAGATGCTAGTGGCCCACTCAGTGACCATTGTCCCCTTGTCATACTTTGGGAAGTCGTATGCCTGGCTAGATGACCACGATTTTCCAGCCTCCCTACAGCTAGGCATAGCCAAGAGACATGCAGAAGTTGTTAGCTTCCAAAAATTCCTCGTGAGAGAGACAACTGGCAGGTGTTCTTTTTACCCTACTTCCCCTCCTCCTGCTTTCTGCATAGATATGATGGCTGGAGCTGTGGCAGCCATCTTGGACCATGAGATGACCTTGAAGGTAGAATCCATGTACTAAGAATGGTGGAGCAGGAAGAAAGGAGTCTAGTTCCTGATGAATCTGGACTTTTCCACCTGCTGGATCCTCTGCCAAGAATGCTCACCATCACTTACTTGTAGGGTCCTTCTCATCTTTCAAAACCCAGCCAGAATGTCACTTTCTCCTGGAGGCTTTCTGTAGGTGCCCCTTCCTTCCTGGGCTCCCATAGCCCTTGTGCTGCTGTTAAAGTCCCTGATAGCCACTTGCTGTGAATCCGAGGACTCGTTGCTACTCATCGCTTTGGCCCCTCGGTAGCATTTAACCAGCTCTCCTCTAATCCTCTTGGTATCCCTGCTACTACTCCTTCCAGCTTCTCCTCTTCCCCGTGCTGCTCCATCTCAGTCTGTTAGCCAGGTCCCCTGCCCCTGGCCACACAGGAAGTTTGCAGTGTCTCAGGATTCTGTTCTGGACTCTCTCCTTTTCACTCTCCAGGTTCTCCTGTGCAACTGCACCCTCCCCATGGCTCCAGCCACCACCTCTGTGCTAATGACCCCAAATCCAGCGGTGTGCTAGGCTGGCTTAGACCAGCTTATGAGAGCAGTTATTAAATCTTCAGGAATTTCGGAGCCAGGTGTAAAGTCATTATTTAAAAATTAAATTCTATAAACTTATGGTTATATAAAAATTATGTTTAAAACATAATAAACACTCGGGGTGCCTGGGTGGCTCAGTCGGTTGAGCGTCCGACTTCAGCTCAGGTCACGATCCCACAGCTTGTGAGGCCAATCCCCGCGTCAGACTCTGTGCTGACATCTCGGAGCCTGGGGCCTGCTTCAGATTCTGTGCCTCCCTCTCTCTCTGCCCCAACCCACTCACATTCTGTCTCTGTCTCTCTCAAAAATAGATAAACATTAAAAATGATAATAAAACATAATGGACACTCAAAACAGAACTTTCTAATTATTTTACTATTTTCCATTTTCTCTTTTCCATTTACTATTTTCTATTTTCTTAAGATTGTTTTTACCTATTTTGTCTGTGTGGTGAAAATACCATAAAAGGCCATACTATGGCCCATCTCTTCCCAATTCTCTGCTCTGTGACAGTGAAATCAATCATGGTGGGGGGGGGCGGGATTTACCCCATGGATGTGGGCAACCTCTACCAACCAAGGTACTTCTCTGCTTAGAAAGCCATGTGTTAAAGATTTCCTAGTACACCATGGCCCAGATCTATATGTGGAGCCAGCCCTGGGTGACTTCCTGAGCTCCAGGCTCAGACATCCTACTGTCTGCCAAACACCTCCTCTAGTTCATCTGTCAAGCACCACACAGTCAGCCCCAATCATGCCCCAAACAAGCTCCCCATCAGCCCCACCCCCAAGGCTGCCCCATCTCCTCAATGCCTGTTTCATTTTGCAATAGCATCTCTCACCTCTGTCCTGGGAACCTTCCCCGACTCATCCCTCTCCCTCTTCCCCAACACCTAAGTTACCTCCTGAATAATACCCAACTGTCCCTCCAGCCCTCCTCCAGCCTCCCTTCGGCTTCCACGGTTCAGGCTCCATCATCCCTCCTGTGGATTCTGCCCCAGCTATCTTGTGATCTTGCTGTGTCCTCTATCTAACCCACCTCTATTTAGTCCCACAAAATGCAAATCGCATTTTGGTCTCTCTTGTGCTTAAAATCCTCAGTGACTTCCCAGTTCCTACAGTTGGAAGTACAGACACCCTTCACGTGGTCTTTCTCTCTTCCTCCTGTCCCTCCTGCTTGGTCCTTCTTCATCACCGATTCTGACATTCAGGAGTTCTTAGTCAAGAGTCACAAAAATTGCTTCTGGCCAATTTACATAGATAAGAATTTTATTATCCGATATTGGAGAGCTCAGAAACTCTCCAGGAAGCCCAGAGACTCCCCCTTCAAGACCACACTGCCTGGAATAACGCCCCAAATCGCACCGCCAAGCAGACCCCCTGCCGCTACAG